GCATGTTAGGGTGGTTAAATTTTTTGTTTACTATGACGAGTATTGCATAGAAGTATTCTACGTTTGTCTAAAATCTATTTAGAGTTTGCCAAATTGCGAAAATAGGTTTATTTTCCTTAGGATTATGCTTTAGTGTTGTATAGAAGTGCTTAATTTTTTTTTATAAAATCATGTTATTTTTGTAGGAGGTTCCATCTATGGACACATACTTTTCCTACAACTTCCCCTTAGGGCGCAACAATGATTATTTGTACAGTTTCTTGCGTGTTAAATTAAAAGAAAACGTATATGTACACATTTTACTTTTCCTTGATTTTTTTTTTTTAATACAACTAATGCCAAATTTCTACTAGATATTGAAATGGCGAAAAATTGGTGCCATTTAAAAAATGTCATGTGGAAATGTGCTTAAGGCTATTTTTTAATATACTGAAACGATTTTTTAAGGCAAACCTTCGTTGTGGCAAAGAACAAAACGGAAACAAAGGTCTAAGGAACTTTCTCTCGAAAAACGATTTGGGAACTAAGGTCTCAGGAAATTTCTTACTGAGAACAAAACGGGAACAAATCTTCTCTGAACTATTCACAAAGCGTGCCAGTTGTTTGAAATGTTTGAATATTAAAATTAATAAAAAAAATTAACTCAAAGAGAATTATGCAAATTAAGTCACGAAAGTCTTAAGGTCCGAACTTTTCTTGTACAGAAAATGAAAAATTGTTCCAAAAACGGACAGTTAACCCTAATGACAAACGATCTGGAAGTTGAAATGATCTAGCTTTCTTATGGCTTAGAGTTAACAATCATGGTTCTCTCGGAAACGATTTTTCATCCCAACATGCAAACGCCCCTCTCCATCTTATCGTTAAGTTCTTACAACTTTAGATTCCCAGATTATCGATCTTAATTTATTCTCCTTGAAAACGTTCTATATACTTTCGTTCTTAATGAAAACGGTCGCAGAAGTTTCCGATTACTTTGTTCGAACTTTGTTTTTTTTTTACGAAAACGTTCCAGAATCTTTTGTTCTAATTTTGTTTCCGCTTAAACTGCTCTCAATACTTTTGTTCTAGTTTGGTTCTTACACGGGAACGTTCTTGACATTGCATTTTGTTCTCATAAAAATTGGATTAAACTGTTCTAGAAAAATATAAATATTTAAATGAAGTTTCTACTTCTCAGAAGCTCTAGAAAGTAACTACGAGTCATTAAACAAGAGTAGAATATTTTTTCGAAGACCTTTAATTTGATATGTATCTATATTTTGCAAATTAGAAACTCTTGTTATGTGTGCAACATAAGAAACATTTTTATAATTAGTCCAAATATTTAACTAAATCTCGAAAAATGTACAAAGTAATCAAAGAACAGAAAAAACGGATTAATATTTTTGAAAGGCCTTTAATTGGATACCTTTGTTGCACACATTCGAGATATTTTTGTGTTAATTGGAAATTTAGGATTTGGGGCCATATTTTGACCCATAGAAACCTAAAATTCCCTTCTCATGTTTCCAGCTTGTAGGTCTTTCCATTTGGATTAAGCGATGAGGAGTTAAGCTTTGGTTTCCTCGAAAGCGGTAACATAAAAAAGCGGTCGCAACTTTACGTTGCCAAAACGTTGCCATGTAAATATTGCAAGAGGTCAACTAGCTTGATGTTTTGCGTTCGACGCCGATATGATAAAAAAAAATTTTGTTATACCCTCTGGCGGATGTTTTAAGTAGTGTCAATAACAAAAGTACTCTGAACTCGATTTTCAAAATGATCGACAGAATCCGATTTTCAAAACTATCGATGCTGGGTACTCCAAAGTACTCAATACTCCCAAAAGAACTCGAAAGTACTCAGTACTCAAAAATACACTGTTCCAATCATCTTTTTAATATATGTACTCAGTATAGATTCAAAGTACTCAGTATGAAGGTTCGAATATATACTTTAAAGTGCTGAGTTTTATTTACAATTACCGGTATTCAGAAATAATTGTAATCAATTTTCAAAAGTTTCAATAGCTTTCAAGTACAGTACTTGTACCCAATACAGTTAGGCATACATTTGATGCAAATTCGGATTAATATATTAATTTGAATAAAGTGCTGCCAGCTTATGAGATTTCTACACTAAGCATTGACATGTTACCAAGATGTGTTTATTTAAAGAAAGTTTGATTCTTCTTCTTCTTTATTGGCGCTGTAACCGCCTAAGTCACTTTGGCCGAGTCCAAAACAGCACGCCAGTCGTTTCTCTTCTGCGCCAACTAACGCCAGCTGGAAATGCCAAGTGAAGCCAAGTCCTTCTCCACCTCGTATTTCCAACGCAGAGGAGGCCTTCCTCTTCCTCTGTTGCCCTCGTGGAAGACTAGCATCGTGACAAGAAAAGTACACAGTACTCTCAAAAATACCCGATCCTCAAAAGTACTCAATACTTCCCAAAACTAGTTTTAAGAAACAGATAAATCAAGAAATGGAATTCTCCTACCAAAATGGCCCCTATAGTATGTTTTTATACAAATTTTGAGCACTTTTTTACGACACTACACCAAAATTTCAAACTCTAAATTGATTTTAGACGCATGGTTTTTTCACCAAATTTGTTTAGAATTTCGCGTAGAATACTCCTACGCTATACTGGCATTGGCAGAAAATCTTCCTTACGAATTGGTCCGCCCTAATGTATGCAATTATTCAGGTATGTATTGTTAAAATTATCGTTGTTCAGTTACTTCTTATTTGTCATATACATATGTTTATGTAACCCATAATTACTCCTATGTAGATATGTATGTATAGGTTTAGGTTCGTCCTGGTGCACTGGGTACATATTTTTCAGATGGTTGATATTGCCATTGAGCACAAATCGCATCCTGTTCTGTTTTGTTGTAGCCAGCCCTGAGAAAAGGAAGAGAGAGAGCGGCAGTTAAGCACTCATTCCAAAGCAAAATTTGCATATTGTCGCTCCTTGCGAAGAGTAAACACATCTCTAATTACCCGTTGAAGACTGGCAAGTTTCATATTCGCGTCGACAAGTTGCACATTTCATATTGCTAAGCCTCGAAAACTTCCACATTTCAGGACTTTTCACGTTTAAAGTAAATCATAAAAACAAAATTTATTTTAAAAAATTTATTGTTTATTTTATATCTCTGTAATCCCTTTAGTAATCATTTGTCTAAGATTAGCCACTTTTCCTTTTTTAAGGCGATTCATAGCGTTTTGTGGTTGAACACTGAACTTTTTTTTCAATATGCTTTATTTCTCTTAGCTCTGTGTAAAGTCGTATTTTACAGCCAAGTCTACGTAGTTTTTGCTTTTTTTGAAATTTCCCTTTAATTCGATATCTCTTTTGTTGCCAATGAAAAAATTGGGAAAGTTCTGCGACGCGTAGTTCTACTACTTCTGAAATGTGCTACCATTTCCCGCGAATAATGAAATGTGCTACTCTTCGTTGGAGCCGACGATATATCTGTGGTCATATGCAATAACCGCCTAAGTCCTGAATTCGGAAAAAAACGTTTTAAACATTTGGATTGTAATGTTAGCCTTATGGGGAAAATAAAAAAAATATTTTCGCTTATAACTTCTTGAGTAGCCTAGCTGGCGAGATGGGGCTTTCACATACGCATGGAATAATGGTTGAAGATTACGATAGCATATATATATAACTCTATTCTTTCTTAAGTGCACTTAGGCGGCTATTGCTTGTGACCACAGATATAGTACATATGTATACATATATTTTAAATTCACTTTCGAAATACTGACATCATGCCAATACTATAGATTCCAGGGGTTCTTAAACCTTTAAGATGATGGAACCTTTTACTAGAAATAGTATGCATACTTTAAATTTGAATGTAAAGAATGAAATTGTTTCACTGTTATTAATTACACTGGATCACAAATTTTAATTTGGTTTTCGTTTTCCAGACGCCACTATCCAATTTGTATGTAGAATCGCCCCCTGATTCCAAAAATCGAGTTAATTTTTATTCAATGAATACGTTTTCGAGATATTTTCAGTTTACCGTTATTCAGCTTAAAACAAAAGGTGGTTCCACTTAGTCACTTATATCTCATGAACCAACTGAAAATGAAATACGGCAAATGAAAGCCAACCAAATTTTCCATAAACCGTCTATACATCACTTTCCGGTAGGATCGATAGTTTCTGACAAATTAATTAATCATTCCATTTTTATTTATTTATTAGTGTCTTGCCACTTTCCAATATCAATTTAGAATAAGTCTATGGATGCATACTCGTACGATTTCCCTCTCCTGATTAGCCAAAGATTTTCGGCCGTTGTTTCTGTGAAGGTCTGGTGCGAACTTTTTTTGACTGTGTTTTAGATTGACCTCGGATTGAAGGGTTCAAATTCTTCTCATTTTTTATATACAGAAGTCTCTTCCTGAATCAGATTATCAGGAGTTAATAATACGTGTTTCAAGCGCTGTAACTGCACAATATTTTGTTTCTCCTGCGCTATATTTCTTCTTCTAAGCTTTCTGCAGCTAAGGCACCACCGAATTTGAATGAAGATTTTTCGGGAATCAGGTTGGAATAGCGATTGAATACAAATATGCCATTCGATCGACTTAAGTCTGTTGCAAACAAAGTTGAAGAATATTCCCTTCTTGTCTGTTTATTTTGTTAAGGTATTAAAGCTTAAGTTTGCAGCTATAGTTTACTAAGAAAGAAAGTCTAAAATATCTCAACTGTGTCTCGATGGAATCTGTAGAAAAGTGTGGTTCCAACTCCTCTCACTTCGAGCAGTTATGACATAACTTACGCTAAGCTTATGCTCACTATCATTTTGTTGAAAGTGACGGTAGTCCAACGAACAGTAAGAATGCCTACGAGTCAACGTCAGGGTCATAGGGTCTTCTTCTGGTGAAATGGGCTCGAAAATTCTTTATCTTAAACACGTATGCTGTCGGTGATAATACATCGAGGAATAAATAATAAATAAATAACCAAAAAAGAACGAAATATACAATGGATTTGTTTGCTTGAATATTTATTAACTTAGATTTACTTAAATAAAATGAAAATAAAACTAAGTAATACTGACGTTGCTTAAATTAAATTTATACTCGTAAAACAATTCTAAAATGGGGACTTAACTAAAAATAAAATGTCTGATCGACTTCACACAATTAAAGCTACTTTAAGATCGCCCTAAGCACCAAAGCTAGTACCCCTACAGTAATCAGTCTTTAGTCTACAATCAGTAATCCCAAAAATTATTGGGCGACACCTCGTTTCCTCGATTATAGCGGTAGTCGGGTCGTGGTGGCCGTCCGCCATTCGCTCTGCCATAATAGTAACCTCGCTCTTGCGCATAACGTCCATTACCGCCTGGCAGATCAGCACTCACACGTGAGTTCAAAGTGTCCCAAACTACACGGGGACTATGAACAATCTCGCGGAGAATATTTACCGCGGCCAGACCCACAGATGCCACTTTTACACCCAAGCGGCGCGTGAACGTATCGAAGTTCTCTTTCAAAGTCGGGCTGGTATCTGCACGCAGAGAACGACCATAGAACTCATTACCCGGGGGTGGCTCCGGATAATGGTAGAATTTCTGTGCCAACCCATTGGGGTGTGTCAATATTTTCTGTATCACATTGCCCGCATTGGGCGGCACATAAAGATCCGCCTGACGAAACATAATGTCACAACGATTCGTACGATAAAAGAAGTCTTCGAACCTTTGATGTGCTGAGCAGGGACTACGTTCCTGGAAGCAGGTGACTTGCACAACATTGTAGAATATGGCGCCTAGTGTGTTGGCTGTTTCTGTGTAAGTAAAAAAATTAAAAAAAAATTACAACCTAAGGTTAACACAATCCATCTATTACCTGTGTTCAGCGATTGCAAGCATTTGCGCAGTCGCGCATCGCAATCACAATGCGAACGTGTAAATGTGCCGCTATTGCAAAGCCCACGACGGCATTCGCCCACATTGAGCACGTTCGGACAGTGGTCGTGTTCGCGGCAGCAGCGATCCTCTGCGAAATGTGAACCCAAATCACTGTAGTCAACGGCGGCGGTGCCTGAAATATTTCAAATAGAACAACAGTTAATACTTGGCAATATATTGGTGGAAGCGACGAAACCTGCCTACCTGGTCCACACCATTTCGTGCCGGGGTATATGAAACCCAAGCCACCTCGGAACTCGCGTCCATAAGAGCCAGACTTCAAACACACGTCCTCCAGTTCCATAACCGATTCACGTGGCACTTGTCGGATGCGTCGTGGATCTGATTGCAACAGCATGCGCTGGATGTCGCCGCTGTAAAGTAGACGAAAGTGAGATTTTTCGCTTCAACAATCATAAGGCGTATCTTTACCGATCCGTATGCATTTTGCAGAATGGATGTCGCGATGAAAGCTCCACCATCACTGACATGGCATTATCTGATATTAAAACCGCTGAGCCATCACTGCCGTCAGTGAATACGGTTATTATTAGAACCACTGTTAGCACGAATTTGAAGAGTCTCTTTGACATGCTGCAAAGAAAAAAATTTATACTGGGTTATTTGAGTTTTATACGCAAATAAGCAAGAATACTGAAAACTTCGATTTCGAAGCAT